CGGGGTTCAAACCCTGGACCTTCCAGTGAAAAGTCTATCCAGTACTCCCGAGTTTTCCAATGGTTTTCTAACTGATGTCAGCTCATGATGAAATCCTCCCACCAATCAAACAAAATCCCTACGAAACCAATACTTGTAAATGCATTCACTCTTCATTTTCCCCCATCTTACATCTATTCACCTGTTACAGGGCATCGTACTTTTTCTTTTTTTAAAGCATTTTAACTGTAGCTGAGGAGATTTTCTGTTACTTTTTAGGTCGAATTATCTTTTATGGCTGTCATGAAAATTAAGGTAGTAAAGTGAACATTGGAACGTTTTAATGATTTGACGAAAAAGTTTGCAAATACATATACAGAATGTAGTAGATAGTGAAATGAAAAATTAAAAACTCTCTGTGTCTGACACTGCCGAATTCATTCTCACAGTTGACAGTTTTAGCAAACCAGTGGTCGATGCATCGCATCGCTAACCTCCGAATAGACAGATGAAACAACGAAATAAAAGGAATCCGTTCAATTCTAAATGACAGACATGATCGAAACACATCCATTCCACACCGTATACAAAGTCAATCCGATTTCCTCCTTTGTATCCCAGTTGTTTGTTGATAATACAAACTTATGAAAAGTTCTCTAGCTTCTTTAAGGAAAATATGTTAATTTCAGCGGAAAAAAATAAAGTATACATTCCATCCGAATAAATATCAGTGGAAGTCTATTTTATTCAAATAAGTAAAACACATTTGAAAACACATCACTTTTCTTTATGAATATAACTTATTTTGATTCAGTCACACGGTGTAATACAGTGATATTTACTGTATAACACTGGGTGACTTTATCAAAATAAATTATATCTATAATGGAATTATACTTAAGTTTTATCCCTATGTCACTTTTTATTGAGGGAGTTTACAAAAGTACTGTTACCTTTGAGTTCTATAGGACAGTTAATATATATTCGCTGTTTCCATTAAATCGCTCATATATGCAGACAAACCACTTTCGTACACCCAAAATAAAATTTGTATTTGTTACATTTAATGCTTATTTCTGCAGCCTTAAACTGCTTCTGATAGTGTTTTTTCTGCATTCATTTTGCTATAAAAGATGAATATGAATTAATTTCACTTCACTGAACGTGTCTACCAGCATGTTTTTCAGATAAGATGATTAGTTCTTAAGTTGCTTTCATACAATCTGCTTCCCATCATTCAGACGACACTTCCTTTGAAACTTTGGTCTCGTGTTAGTTTGTAGGGCCAGTGGATTCATTCTTCGTCATTCTCGTTATGTCAGGAAAAATCTGCACTCGTTATATTCTCTAACTGGTTGCCACTTTCTTACTCATGCTACGGAGTTGTGTAGTATCAGTTAAAGTGTTCAAAGTACTTTTTTAAGTAATTTAGCTGTGAACCGGGTTTTGTAGTTGCCTAAGTGAGTGGCTACAAAAGACATTCCCATTAGTTGAGTGACAAGTAAAACTAACCTTCGAGTGAAGCAAGTGCAACCAATTGGCTATCTATCTTTGTATGTTGTGGGAATTACTTTTGATATTTTTGGTGGATATTTAGCTTAAGTAGTGAGAATCAGTTTTTGGTTACCGCTAATTACATAGCTTGGAGTATTTCACAGTAACACAGATGTACTTATTCCTTTCCATCATTCAGATTCTGAAAATCTGCTCTGACTGAAGTGAACCGTCAGCATAGAACACTACATAAAACTTCGTCAGCTTAAGTTGCTGCACTTCAGTAGAAGTACACAGAGAAAAGGAATACAGTCTACACCTCTCTAAGCGGATCAAACCAGCAGTCAAATACTTCATGGATTTGTGTCATGTTTTCGCAGCACCTCCCCTAACCGTTCTTCAGCCAAAACATACTATAATGAAGTTAAATATACATCGTCTAACATTACTCGGTGACGAAGGCAGTGGTTCGCCATGTAGAACACATGTCATAGGTGTTTTAGCCAGTGCAGCTTCACCGCACTTAACAGTTGACCTCGTGATTACTCATCATATGACAGCAAAACAGTATAATCGATGGAACGCTAGCTTTTTCATATCCTCCACGTAAAATTCACGTCAATAGTCTTCTAATTTTCCTTTCTGTTGCACGCCATCGTCCATCATAGTTTCACTATATCCGTTTGCTTCACTTCTATGTATATTTCCAAAGTGAATCATTCCAGATGTCAAACTGGTTGTTTCTCTTTGGAACGCTTCCATTTAGTGACCCCAAGTGTTATACAACTGAAGCTTTACGGAACTACCTGCCCATTTACACGACTTATTTTACAACCGTTAAGAAGAGTAGCACTGCTGGCAGCCAGGAACTTATGCTTGGCATCAAAACTGAATCCCGTACACAGTTATGACACTAAAACTAATATCAATTTCCTGTTATTCCTATAATGAGACCAATTCTTCATATTTTTCAGTGAGAACCAGTTCACATTCAAGTAATCATTTGTAGCTCGAAATGACTGCATTTTATTAATAAGAGCAAAGTTAAAAGTGAGAAAAATTTGGTCAACTACTGAAATTGAAACTTCAGCAGTGCAAAACACTAAATTAGGCTTAATTTTATTCAGTAACTTGAAAGTCAATTACACTTTCTATACTTATGTTAAAAATGTCTATCCCTTGACTCCACGGGAATCATTCATTGAAACATACGTGACACTGGTCACTATACCTTTTGTAAAGACTGCTTTAGCTGAAATGCTATCCATATAATGTCAAATCATTTCAGGGTAAAGTATATGAAAAAGCTAGTTGGGTTAGTGTTTTTCCCGTGGCCATCTTTTGTATGCTTTTGCACTATACATGTGTATTAAGCGTATATGAACGCTGAAGACAAGCAACAAGCAATTTTTAGTGAAATTGTAAACAGTCACTTAGGATACAAAATCGCTTACCTATGAAAAAATGAAATGTACATCAAATGTTTATTTTGACTAGGAAATAAGCTAATACAGTCAGTGAACGTTTATGTATGCACAAAAATCTCATTTAATCGGGTGCAAATATAAATACTTCAACTCTAAACATAAACATCAGATCAACAATTAACTTCAGCGGAAAGCTTGATAATTCTGCCGTAATTTGTAAAGCTTCCTCATTAGAAACTGTCTGAACTATCGAATGGTAGTAGAAACAGTGTGTCTTAAAAAAACTGCAGTTATCATAAGTCTATAATAAGTCAAAAATCTCCCTAAACATGTTCAATGCTTCTTGCTTTAGTGTATCCTCTCATATCCTTTTACCTTCTCTTTCTTAATAAATGCACCTAAATCTAATCCAGCTGTTGAAGTCTCTCAGTTGATCCGAAACTCCATTGATTTGTCAAGTTGGTTATTGCAATCAGTTGGTGACTGTGTATTTTCGGAAGTTGCTTGAATGTTAAATGTCTTCCTGTATGAGTAAGTGCCTTTCATTGCTAGCTAAATTCAAAATGAGGAAGCTTCGATTAAAGATGACAAATGTTTATTCCTTATTTCGGCTAATAGTTAGTGACAATGAATACTAGATGTTTGTCTGCCAAGGTTGTTTAGCCACTTAAACACTTACTCTAATCTTAAATTTTAAAATTAAAACTGTAAGACTACTTTCTAGACTGAGACTTTGCTATAATCCCAGTCTACATGATGATATCAAACAGCCATTCTGTTTGTTACTGGGAAATTTTATGAACAAGAGATTTATTATATTGCGTGAAAATTCCATACAAAACTGACTGACCAATAAAAGATATGCATCTTCAAGAAAATAACAAGAATATAAATGTAAAGATATACTTGTATTGTCTAAATTATCAGGCATTCAAATTTTTGTTGTCTATGGAATAGTGCATTATAGCTGTTTGTCTGAAGATATGAAAAAACCTTCAGTAGCTCAGCTCCACTTCATTTTCCTCACTATGTGCTTAAAAGTTCATGAACATTGGTGCAAAATGTATAAAATCGCAATGATTTTATTTTCACACATCACAAGAAAAATGAGAACAGCAGAATCGGATGGCCATCTTGCCATTTTAAAACCTGATAGCAGAAACAATAGGAGATGGACATGGATAAAACTCAGATGACGAAAGTGACTGCAACGTCCGAGCTATGTGGTTAATAATCATAAACTTTTTATCAGGATGAATATCTCAATGCAAGCTGTAGATTTAAATTTGAATATGACAATAAAAAGAAGGAATTACGCACTCCCTGGACTGTTCATAAATATTTTACGGGGGTATCTTCATGGAAATCGCGAAAAACCTTTGCAGAAGCTCAAATTAAAAAGAATGTATTGATATCTTGGAGAGATAATGACTTTCAGTTAACTTAAATTAACAGAGTACACAGAAAAGACCAAGAAAGTACTTTTCTTTGTGAGTATAGATGGGTAAAAATAATCAGATAACAGTGCTTGCAGAAGAAAAAGGCAAAGTAATCACGTTTCATACACCTATAATCAGACTAAGTGAATCTGCAACTGTACATTATAGTAGCCACCTAATTAATAAAAATTCCTCGACTACTTCAAGCTGAAACAGCCTGACTCATATATCTATGGGAAAATTAAAACAGATCTACATCTATTCCGTTTTGTTAAGAACAATAACTTCAAAATATGATTATTATCACTCAGCATTTTAGCAAGTACGGCACTTCAAAGTGCCAAATTAACTCCAAAAAAAGTAAATGCAGCTCGATCAACGGATTACTAAACTATATAAATACCGATAAATGTGTGTAAATCCCGACAAAAAACCAAAACCGACGCGACAGAAGTTTTGTGAGCACATATTAGGTGTTGAAAAAATATGGATAGTAAAATGAAGCATTGGACAGTGGGTTTCAGGAGTAGTAATCTCAGCTAAACTCAATAGGTTTATAACCAAAATTAATTCATGATTTGTAAATATATGCACAAAAGTGAAAAACTACAAATCACACAAATAAAAGGAGGAATACAGCCCCATATCGTAGAAAGCTTACCTTAGTATTGATTTTCCGGAGCTTGTTAATATTCGTTTTCAAAACCCGATAAACACGTTGCTTATATTTTAACTGACAATAAAAATGATAACAATTAAACATACTTCTAAATGGCCAACTGAAGTTTCGAAAGGATAATCTAGCAACATTCTTTCCTCCTGCAGAAATTTGCCAGCTTTACCCTTAGATGGTGGAAGAAATAGGCCATAATTTAGCTCGTCCTTCAACATTTGTTTTACTTTACTGATAACTGCAAGCTTCACATCCATAATTAAGTCAGTTGGAATGAAACTGAAAATCTGCAAAAAGTTACATAAGAGAAACTTTATTACTTCACTACTATCGTCTGGCATGGTAACCCTAATGAAAATAAGTCCTTGCGTAGGTGAATCATTTTGACTCCCGTTCATACTTATTGAGAGACCTGAGTCGCTATCACACATAATTATTTCAAATTAAGAATCCTATAGACTTGAATGGAAGGACCTTCAAAGTATAACGTAAACATATTCGCTGTTTAAAATTGCATCAAAAATAAAGTCGAACTGATGCAGTAAAACAATTTGACTCAGTCTTCTATCTCGAATAAATAATCATATCACCTGTTATTCCTTTGACAGTGAACGTGACGATTTAAGTGTTATTCAGTATAATTAACTCACCAAGACGCCTATTTTCTTGAATTCGGGATTTCTTCTCAAGCGAACATTGGTGAACTATCTCAGTTCATTTCGGAGAATCACAGTAATCTTATAAATGTCATATTATTATCCCTCACATTCAATCTAATCTTAGAGACAATACACCTTATTCACTTGCAGTATTAGGTAATTCCCCAGAATCATTAGTCACAACATTCATCAATGAACACTGGGTGCTGACCCTCACTGTTTTAGTTGATATGTTTAGCTAAGGCTAACAGTCAAGCACCCACGCTCTTCGACATGCCATCGTGTTACGTTCGTTCGTGCACGATCCCTAGCTAGTTAAGCAATCATCTCGCACTCTAATTTTGTCCCGATATATTACTCATAATTTGGCCGATCTATTCCGGTGTTTTGCTTTGCCTTTGGTCAACGCGGAACGAATATTACAGAAGTTGTGGGTATTAGATATTGCATTAGTATAAATCTTACTGTACGTTAGCGTCAACCTACTCAGCCTCTATACCCTTGGGAGAATAAAATGGGGTTACTCTGATCCAAAAATGCAAACAGATGAGAATTTACAAAGTTTTAGGTCAGTTTCACCTGAATAATTTGTAGAACTCAGTTTGTAGAATAAATTACAGGATGTAGGTGACTAATTGCTTCAGATAATTAAACGAATAACCGGGTGGATGGTACATGTTATTTATCATTTTAAGGTTCACTTTTTATACTGAACAGCACAGGATGATGAATGCCATTCCATGGGTTGGTTTCCACAGTTCAGTCGCTCACCTGCTTTCTTTCAAAGTAAGAGTTCAAACTAAGTCGGTCCCTTGTGTGTTGATGTGCGTCGTTCCAAGAACATGTTAGGAAGATCTTGATTTGCATTAATTGTTTTGATAGAAGTGCAGTCTGCAAAAAGATCGGACTGAATAAAATTCTCCAGGAGTTTTTTTAATTTAAATTCACTCCTTCATTTCCACCCACTAATCTGAAGAATAGGGGTTTCGTAGACTCATCATCCCAACGAACCTGCTGTTATGCCTGACAGTAAGAATATACTGACCCCACATAAATGCTTTCCTTTCTAAAAATTTTGAACCTTATCATGAATTTCGTCACACCTCAAAGTCTCTACATCTCCAAACCACCAACTTTTTTATCTGAAAGACGTGCTGAAATAGTCAGCTAAAACACATGCGCAAAGCACTTTGTTAACTATCAGAGATAATCATTGGACGGAAGATCAAACATGTGATTCCGGAACCCTTCACAAACTTTCAACAAAACACCTCGTAACACGTCCTCGTCATTAACAAGTCTGGAAAATTAAGTTTGTGCATCTGTAAAGCCTTATCATCCGGCCGATAATTGTTTTTGCCGGCTGATATTACGGACAGATATAGTTCGCCTCTGGTGAGATGGAGAATAAAACGCTTAAACTCACAGGAAGGAGGTATTTTCGGGCCAGCTCCATGTATAAGTGAACCGGATAATATTGTTTTGCAATAAGCAGGGCAGGAAACGCATTTGTTACCTATCTACTCTTTCACAGGATTTTGATTTTTCGTTGTTTCCGCCAAGTAAGCTGCTCAACCAGTTTGTTCTAAAGACAAAGTAGAATAAATGTTCATGTGATATGTAGCTATTGCACGAAAGGAAATGCAAAGAAGTAATAATAATCAGTATATGCTTGAAACTATTATGTATTTGGTGCTAAAAATTAAAAAAATAATGGCTTGCTGGAAAATTGCCCCAAACGATTTGGTGTTGCAGCGGAATGATTAGTCTTAGGTCACATAATGAAAAATTTCTTCCTAGTATTGATATTTATTTGAGTATTTGAATTCACTTTAACCCCGATGTCTGTACCATCATCCTAAGATGTTCACATTATCCTTTGGCTTAATATCTGTCGTTAGCATTCACTTATGGTTGCCTCGTATTACGCTGATGGAATGTCGACCATGACGTGTCATTTCTATTCATATCAACATTTCGTTTTGGCAGAATCAAGCAAGTGCTTTGGATTGAATGCTCGCTCTTAAACTGTCTCTCACAATTATGTCACTGTCCATTTATGAGTCTGGACAACACGTTAAGGGAGGCCAGGTATAAAGTAACCCAGTTGCGCAACAAAAGGAGTGGTCTGCCAGAACGGATGGTCATAGAACCGAAACCAGTGTTACTCTTGGTTGAGGTTAACAAGCAAATGAACTTGAAGTCGCTCAATAGATATAACTAACTAAACTCACATGGGCTGACATCTATCAGGAGGATTTTCCGACCGCATCAGACATTATAGCACTGCTTAGCGAGTTATCTTCACCGATCAAAAGTCTAAATGGTAATTTACAGTTCAAACAAATGCATAAATGCTAAATTGTAAACTCTTCACTAAGGTCACCATCGAAGTCGAGGGAAAACTCAAACTTCGTTCCGTTGTCTGCTGATAGTTATGGTCAACCAGTGAACGGCGTATATTTGAGTTAGTGCTACGTGAACACGTGATTAAAAGCTATATCGGGAAGAGGAGAACATCCTAGGAAACTGTGAAATTGTATAAGATACAATTATGGATCATACATCATTGAAAGTGCATCTACAAGATATGTAGAAGAAGGAGGTGAAGTTTCCTTGGAATGTTAGTTTATATTTTCAATGTAGAATTCTAGCCATATTGGTCTTACCATGGAAACTATGACATCTTCGATGAAAATATAGCTTTGCCCAAACATTGGTAATGTTGTGTTTTTTAATCAGAACGACCAGGGTTTAAGGGAGCGAAGAATATGAATGAAGGGAGTAAGTTTTAGCTTTATTAAATGCCTAGGTAGCTAAGATAAAATAGAGTATAACAGTAATTAGGTAAAAGGATTACTGTGAATTATAAAAGTTACATTTCAGAGAGAAGTGGCTTGAAAGATCAGAACTTGTGAGATATGCTGACCCGTGAGACGTCTCACAAATTTCTGCAGGGCTCATGAGATAGCGTCTTAACCAAACGCTGAGCAGTCTTGTAGATGTTAGAAGCAAATTCATTTCTTATAATTCAGATCTGTGTCCACAGATAGGCGGAACAAATTAAGGAGTAAAAGGGGAGAGTCGCGCTATCTATTTCTGCATTCATTCATATTCAACTCTAGCCGTTTTCGGACTGTTCATTAACCTATCTGACGTAATGTTTGAAACCAGTTAATTTGCTCTGAATCCCGGGAACGAAGAAAAAAGCTAGGGAAGTATGATCCATACCCCTGACTATGTTCTCTTGTGTGGTTTATCAAACTTCCGTTAGCCACACACTAACAGAAATTATATTCCGACAATATCAAAACCCCATTATACCGGTTGAATCGATTATTAAATGTAGCTTGATTCCGTCAAAACGAAATGTTGATATCAGTAGAAATGACACGTCATGGTCGACATTCCATCAGCGTAATACGAGGCAACCATAAGTGAATGCTAACGACAGATATTAAGCCAAAGGATAATGTGAACATCTTAGGATGATGGTACAGACATCGGGGTTAAAGTGAATTCAAATACTCAAATAAGTATCATTATTGGAAAGAAATATTTGTCGAATAACTTTTAGATCTTTCACCTTGTAATGGGGCCACCAAAATCTCTCTTCAAAGGTCAAGATTTATTTAGATGTATCTAGTGTTAGCTCTACACATCCCGTTTCGGAGTCATGACCTTCAGTTGTGCTCCTTAAATGCATCTTACTCTATGTTTGTGATAGTGTCCTTCGTTACTGAACAATCGAAACCTCTTTGTATCGTGTCTGCAGGATGTGACAACTATAATGTCCTCTGTAATATACCTTTTATGCCCCTAGCATTGAGAGTTATTCATGACGGTGGCCTAGTCAACAGGAGTTCATTCCCTACCAACAGTTGCATAAGGCCTGATGGCTCTACTGTTGGGAACAAAGAAGCTCGTCAATTCAACTGAACCTCGGTCGTTTCACCGCCAACGATCAGTTTGTTTGTCCTTGCGGATTGAAACAAATCGTGAGGGATATAATTTTAAAGAGACACTAGCTGGGCAACTTCGCTGTGTTATGGTTATATACCTGTACAATACCTTCAAATCATCAACAGCAACCGTAAGTGTTATATTCTGCTTTCGCCAGTTGTGGGTGTGTTAAGAGCACCCTGGTCATCAGGTAAGATGGGCCAGGCTAGGTCAGTGTTGCTGACGATCAAGTCTTCCAGGATTGATATCTTCACATCAATCGCTATCGTTATATCTGGTCGCAATCAACTGGAAACGCGGTCAAAATCATTCAAGCAGCTCAACTACCTGGCTTTCTAGACTGAAACTAAGACTGCGACCTTGCTCACGCTACCATTTCTAGTTGTAATCTTCTGCGATGACGGTCCTGAGAGCTACACTATGTCCAGCTTGACTGAAATTATATGCAAATGGTTATCCGTAAATGAGTATCTAACGTCTTCTTCGAACCATACCCAAGTACGGGGCCCAGACACACAGTTCATCCGCATGCCTACAACTACTTTCCGGAAGTTATTACAACCGCAGCAAGAATAACACTCTGAAGATACGTTCTCACAGTCTTTGACCATTTCTGAAACAAAGATGAATTTTTTCAAACAGACCAACATTGACAACAAACTTCTGAAGAACTGCAAGATTTATTGTTCCGCTTAACAAAATGTGTCAGAGAACTGTGATGCAAAGATTCAGAAATAAGGTTATCCAGCATCCAAGTAGCAAAGGCGCAGTGTCTGAACATAAAATAGCTCGCAGTTAACAAACATGTGTATTTAAGTAGAAAATGTATGACAGCCCAATCAACCACAAATAGTCTAATTAACACAACTTGTAGAATGCTATACAATATACAACTTTAGT